ACTGGCGAGGGGAGAGGGGGCGGGGGTTGCGCTGTCGGTTGGCCATCTGGACCAGGAGTGCTTTCTCTGAGGAGCTGTTCGGGCCGGTGGCCGGGTCTCCCCCGTCCCTGCACTGGCCCCGGGGCAGACCCCGGTACCCGTGGGGTACTCGACCTGTGCCCTGCCTCTCTCTGGTATCCTTACAGCGGCCGGGTGAGGCGGCGGCTCGGATGGGGCCCTCTGGCGCGGCCCAGCTCGGCTCTGCGAGGCCTGCCGGCTCTGCGGGGAGAGGAAGTGTAGTTACTGAGATCAAAGAGGGTCGGGGCTGAGCCTCAGCGTCCGCGCTCGCACGGCGACTGCTCTTCCTGGGCCTTTAGAAACGGACGTCGAGTGTCGGAAGCTACAGGCTACAACTGCTTCCTTTTTTTTGGAGTTCTTGAGAGAGACCTCGCGCGGCTGAGAAATGAGCGTGAAGATGAGCAGCGGCAGGTAGGGCTGTAGCTCTATCTCAAACGCAGCTCTTCATCTAGCCTGGCTTGGCTGGGGTTGTGTAACGAGCAGGGAAAGGGAGAGCTGTTAAGAAAATCCTAATTCATGTCCTGTGCGCTGAACAGTGTTTCCTGTTTTGGAGGACAAATGCTTTTATGAATTGCTGTGATTTATTCAGGTTCCCAAATATGAGCTGTTTATGCTTTTATGCTATTAAATGTAATTGTCTCTTTTTGCATACTTTGCCAATGTCTTTTGTTAACAAGTTTTTAGATGCTGTTTGCATGCATAATGGTTGGTTTACTTAGCAAATAAATCAAGATAACAGTATAACTTTCCTTTGGAAAAAAAAAGCCAAACAAAACGTTCTGAAATCCAGAGGACCTGAGGCGTGTTCTTTCAGGCTAGGTTTGGGTAGCAAAACTTGGCAAGCATTGTGGTGTTAAACAGCTGCTGTTCAGAGGATGAGTGTTAGATATCAGCCATTGTGGTCTCTGCTACAGTGACCTTGAGTGCCAGTCTCGATTTGAAAATGAGTTCAAAACAAGTGTACCTTTCTCTTACCTGTGTTAGCCTATCACATAGTGAAATGATAACTTTTTTATGACTAAGTTGTGTTGTAGTTTGGTAACAAAACTCTGCTGAAATTGAAGGGACAATGTGATATATTCAGTTATAAGCTAATTGTGATTGGTAGTTGCTACAGGTTTGGGAAGGGGGGCTATGCTCTTGAGTGTCTGATGTGTGAAACATAACTGTTCACTGGTAAGTTAGTTACACAGTTACAAAGCTGTACCTGAATGTCTGTTTTAAATTGCAGTATCAAATATTTTTATTTTGTTATCAAATTATTGTAGGGAAAATTTAATTTAACATCTGGCTCTTTTTCTTAAGCGATATCCCCATCCCCAGTGCACTATTACTGTTAGTTCCGGTCAAAATATTTAGAGAGCTGCATGTACATGCATATGCCCCACTCTAATCTGCACACCTCAGATATTGCAATAAAAAGGAATGAAAAACACAGTATTTATAAAGGAAAATAACAAAGCAAAGACCTAAGTGATGTGGCATTTTTAACAAGGGAATGACAGTTGCAGAAAGTAGGGCTTAAGGATAGGGCATAAGTTGGCCCCTTCTTTGATAAGATGCAAATGGTTGAAAACATTGAAAGCAGGGAGGCAGTTGATATCAGGATAGATTTCAATGAGGGGATTTTAGATTATGGAAGGATGTGGCATTGTCTGCACACAGAAAAAAGTTAACGTCTCTTAAGAAATGTAAGGTTAGCTTTCTTCATTTTGCACTTAATATGTACAAATTGTGCATATGAAAAGATAAAACTGTATAAATGCAGAAAGGTCCTTTTAGTGAAATTAAGATTTAAGGCTGTCATACAGCTCATTTTCAAAGGTATTTTAATATTTCTGTTTCTAAATCATTTTTGTATAATACTGGTGGAGAAACCTGTGATTCTTGAGCAGGTTCTTTGTTATTGTTTTATCATATGACCACTAGCAGAAATGTGGTCCCAAAGCAACAGGAGCTGGTGTTTAGTCTTGACTTTCTTGTTGTGGGAGGGACATGAGCTGGCGAAGGTTACTGAATTCCAGTACAGCCAGTACAGCTTTAATAACTCATTGCTCAATTGAGTGATGAAGACCCAGGAAGGTTCTGTCATCTGGGGTAGAGGGAGTTTTTGAGGCTCCTGCTCTAAGGGAGATGGTGGGAGACTTGTGCACATGGTTTATATGAGGCTTTCATGGAAGTTTAAAGAACAGTACTCCAAGGCATACTCTTGTATTCTTAGTTTCTGTGGGTTTGGTGGGAGGGAGGGATGTTCATGGGTTTTCATTGAGGGGTTTTAGTTTTGTTTTTAATGGAGTGCATGCACATTAGAGTTCTTAATGTAAATAAAAATGAGGACTGATTAAAACAAAAGGGAAAAGCAGGACTTTAAAATGTGTTAATCTTTCAGTTGTGATTTAGTTATTTGTAAAGAAAGATTGTTTTTTCATGGGAAACTAACTGGTTATTTTGTGCATACTTTTTTTTTAACAAGGCGGTATTTTATCTGCACTTAGGAAAATTATGGAGTCTGACATGCATTCAAATTAGATTTTTTTAATTTGTGCTACAAAATCGTGACTGACTTCTAATTTAGTGATTTTTAATTTGGGCTGACAGTCTATATTACACCTCAGTTCTCTAATGTGCTGGATATGTAACAAAGTATATAAAACATTTTCCATTTAAATGGTTTATCAACAAAAATATTCTAATTATTTAATATGCTGAGTTTAATTTTTTTTCCTTGTCACATCATCATTGTCATCAAGATTTTAGAACCAGCAGTATTAGCTTCTTTTACCTAGTTCCTATACATAAATTGCATGTGGAAAATAAGTTTTACTGCTCCTCCAGCTTCTAATCACTTTCTCAGCAATAAACAGATTGGTTATAACCTGAGCTTGGTGCATAACCTGAAATGAACGAAATAAATTCTGTAGATGTATACTTTTAAATCTCTCCAAAGTCCTAATTGTCTGCTTTTCTTTAGCCACATGTGGAGAGCAGATTGCCAATATCCATACCTGGCAGGAAAGAAAAGTTAAAAAAGAATGAGAGTATCTGTTGCAGAAGACATTTGTTACTGGGAAGTAGAGATCCAAACCATTTCATTTGCATGTGGTCATGATTTGGAAGAGAACAGAATCCATTGTCCTTATGGTTGCAACGTCCTTGTCTGATTTGGTCAGGCCACTGGCAATTTTTACAGTGTTTTCAAAATAATATTTTTACACGGAATTTATTTCCTTTGAGTAAATAAAGTAGTATGTGTGTTGGGTTTTTTCCCCCATCAAACTGATGAGAGGGTTGTATTCCGTAGGTTGCAGTGTAACACATCTGAAGACTATGTCATTCTGGGTGAGTGGGTAGGGCAGGAAGTTTGCCAGAATGAAATGGTTGAGTCATTTTATAGGGTAAAACATTAATGTGATATTTGTTGTTGTCTTTTTTTTCCTCTTCCAATGTTAGCAAGAAGGCTCATTGTGTGCTCAGCACTGTCTGAATAATTTGCTACAAGGGGAATATTTTAGTCCTGTTGAGTTATCCTCTATTGCACAGCAGTTGGATGAGGAAGAAAGAATGAGAATGGCAGAAGGAGGAGTGTCTAGTGAAGAATATAGAACGTTTTTACAGGTAAAATCTTCTTAATTTGAGATTGCTTGATATTTGCCTGAAATCTAATACTGCGTAGCACAGGCCTGCTATTCTTGCATAGCTAGAGAAGGTTAATTTCCTAGTGCTATAAGTTCTTAAATTTATAGGCCTTTTTATTCATGCATCTTAAGTTTAGCATTTTCAAATATTACTATTACAGTGTTACAGTAATTCTACAAAAAGCTACATTATCTTCATCTTACAGGTAGGCAGGTCAGGCATGGCAAGGAGAAGGATCAGTGATTTACCTTTTGTTTTTGTAAGCCAATGGCAGAGATAGGAACAGAAGTTCCCGTGCTTGTCTGTCCTTTAAGCACTGAGCATTTCTAATTTGAAGGTTTGAGTTTTTAATTAATAAGCTTATTTTTGACATTGTAATCAGCCTTATAGACTAGGACATACTTAGTTGTTCTGTTAAGTATATGCAGTTATATTTATATTCAAAATGGAATTAATTCTGATCTTTTATGCTTACACCTTTTTTCCCTTTTCTCTCTCCAAACCTCACACTGAGCAGCAGCCTTCTGTAAATATGGATGATAGTGGATTCTTCTCAATTCAAGTAAGCACAGCTGACATAATTTCTTATTTATGCAATATATGTACTCTCATACAATTTAAATGGCATCGAGCTTTTTCATTTAGTTTCCAGTTTATAGGCTTAATGGAATTAAGTGCTGGACTTCTAAATCTTCAGAGTGTTTTCCATTAAGAACAGTGACTTGCAATTCTTCAGTTCATGGGCCCTTAAACACATGGTAGAAGCATGGACTTCTGAACTGTGAAATGACACCTGCTGGCAATAAGCTTGATTTCTAAGTAGCTTCTAATGGGCACTTCAAGTATAGACCTTGGCTCCTGTAGACTACAGGTGAGAAAGCAGACTTGAGATTGTTTTCTCAAATTGTAGACTGTAAAGCCCTTGGCAGTGGTTACAGGGTTATTACAGTGATCTGCAGAATGGAAAAACTGCAATATCTGCATTCCAGTTTTTATAACACACTCCAGACACTTTAGAGCTGGGGGGTTTTTGTTGTGTGTTGTTTTTTTTTAAGGACCATAATGGAAAAGTGAGTAATAAGAAATACTTAAACCAGAACAACAAAAAAAGGTATTGAGCACCAAATTGGGGCTTGTGCCTAGGCTAAAGCTGGAGGCAATGCTTTGCACCTTTGGCTGTTCCCTGAGCTTTCAGAGGCACTTGTCAATGTTCCAGAATCCCTTGAGAGCCTCTCTTCCTTATGGCAGGACAGGGCTGTTTTTCTATTCAGTGAAAAATCATTAACAGTTTGGCATTTCTTGTATTCTTGATTGTAGTGCTTCAGTATTGAAGCTGGAAAAAAAATGCTTCCTCATATTCTACTTTTTTTGTCCTGTCATTGCTTTACTCACTACATAGCTGGCTTGCTGAAAGGAAGATGAAGTGTTGATTTAAAATTTCTTACAGCTTTATTTCACATAGTTTTAAACAGCTATTGTAAAAGAGTTTGTGCTAATGTACTTGACAGACCCTGTGACAATCCAGTGGTGCAATATTTCCAGTGGTTACTGTGGGGGAAGGATGACATTATGTTGGGGAGGGGAGAGGGCAGAGTAGTACATTGGGAGCAGAGAGATGACAATTTACAAAGTACCTGTGAGAGGTGAAGTTACGGCTTTGGGGGAGTAAGCTTATTAACACATCTCAGTTAAGTCCTAGTTTTGTTACTTCCTCTTAGATGTATTATGTTTGCATGTAGATTCATGACAGTTGCATTTTGAATAATGTGATTCTTAGGTTTCCTAGCAATGTTTTGAAACCTATGTTTTATGAAAACAGTATAATTGTTTATAGCAGCGAAGGTGGTTGCATTGCTTAAATTTAGATTTGACTGGTTTGACTCATGAAAAGTGCTATTTTTTGACAGGTTATAAGCAATGCCTTGAAAGTTTGGGGTTTAGAACTAATCCTCTTCAACAGCCCAGAGTATCAGAGGCTTGGGATCGACCCCATGTAAGACTTTTTTTTTTTTTTCTTTTCATCCCTGCTTTGATTTTACAGAAAAATAATAATCTTAATCTATGATTTAGATCTTTAAAATTACTGTTTCAAGCTCTGTTCCATTCTGATGTTTTTATTATCCCCTCTGTCTTTAATTTTTTTGTTTTGGGGGTGTATATGAACATCTGTCCACTGTGCCTTGATGATACCTCAGTATCTGTGGCATTACAGGTTTATGGAGATCTCAGTAATGTTGACAACTTCCTATATGTTATAAAAGCAGTATGAGTACTCTATAACATCAACAATTGTATTACTGAAATGTTATTGTTTAAGCTTAAATTAGTGGTAGCAAAGAACATCAACATTAACATGCATTCCAGTATTAGAGTATTGAATTTTATCTATACCTTTTGTTTTTCTTTTTGCAGAAATGAAAAATCATTTATTTGTAATTATAAGGAACACTGGTTTACAGTTCGAAAGTTAGGAAAACAGGTGACATTGTCTTTTTTTTTTTATTTAAAATTTAACTTCAGAATGGGGGTGGAAAAGTGGTTGTGAGTAGACCGTGTGTTGGCCTTTTGCAAGCTTTTGCTGCAATTTCCTTTAATAGTATCCCCCAAAAACCAGGCAGCTTTTTATGAATGTTAGCCTGGGATCAATTCCCCAGTGAACCTGTCCTGTAGGGAGCTGCAGCTCTGGTAGAATCTGTGTGACATCTGAAGCTTTTTTCTTTCTTTTCTGCATGAAAAATAGCAGAAAAAATGTACAGGTGGGGAGGGGGGAATCCTGGAGAAGGATTAGGATGCCTATAGAATGCAAACTTCTTTTAATGCACTGAATTATTGCTATTGTAAAAATAATTTTGGTCATTTAAATGGACAGTAGGTATAAGAAAAAGCTCAAATTTCAAATGTATTAATATTCATGATTGCTAGTATTTAAGACTATCCATAAAGATAAGGTTGGGAAAATAGAATCACAACTTTGCACTATTTTAGAAAACTTTCTGAAACAATTGTATTACAAGCAGGAAATAGTTATTAAAGGTAAGGGATGGCCATATAAGTATATGGTACCTATATAATAACTCAAGTCACATCTGTCTCCCTTGTAACACCAATGCAATGTTCATTTCAGTAGTCAATCATTGTTCTGGATCATACTGCATAAGCTTTTATACAAGATAAGCTGTTTTGGCATTTGTTTTTTTCAGGTTTATTTTTGTTATAGAAAAAGTTCATTAAATAAGCTTTTAGATTCTACAGCAATGGACAGGAGTCTCTTTACCTATTGGGTTCATTTTGCAAGTGGTAGCTACCTATGTTGTCATCCAGATTAAAACACCTAAAAATTTACCTGTGTTTAAACAGACTAAACTCTGCTGTTCTGCTTTAGTTTAAAAGTATGGATAATGTTTACAGGTAATTTTTGTATATTTGATATCGAAAAGGCTGAATGGTCTCTTAAAAGTATAGGAATGTTCCTTTATGTATACAACTATGTTAGGTGGAATTTTGTGAGAGAGCATTCTAGCCCAAAATGTTCTAAGTTGGAGAGGGGATGTTTATTGCTTGTGCATGTGGCTTGTAGCCACATGAAGACAATACTAGATGTCTGTTACTTAGAGGGTAATGAGAAAAGATAGACAAAATAGGTTGACTTAGATTTCACCTGCTTCTCTTCTGTCACAGTTAAAGCAAAATTAGTTTGCCAAACCTTCTTCCCCCATATTCCCCTTTAAAAGTTTGACTGTAATCTGTCCATTGTATTTGTTTAAATAACGTTTTACTCCCTACCTCTTACGCTGTTGGTTGTCTTACCCTTTCCTAGTGGCAAAGGTATTTTTGACAATTTAAGTGACTGAATGACAGAATGGTAGATAGTCACTTACCTGTATTCCAGGTGAATTCTAGTATGGGCCTAACTGCAAGTGTATGATTGCATATGTGGAAGTTTGAGTAGATAAATGGATTTTAGTGAGAATGTAGATAGAATTGTCCTTCTGCTATCTGAAATGGTGCTTCCTGGTTAAAATCGGATAATATTGAACAAGTATAGTATAAAAACATTCTTCAGATTGATTGCAATGTATATGGGATTTTGAAGGTAGAATATTTTGTTGTCCATGTTGAATATATTTTCTCTCTAGAAGAAGTATTATAAATAACTAGTTATCTTCTTCAGGGAACTAGAAATGATCAGTGTTTATTTATCTCAAGTGTCCCCTATTGTAATATTACACTGTACTAGCAGCATATTAAATTTGAGCTCATTTTTCTTAATTTTTAGATTTAAAAATTATCTCAGAGAAAAGTAAACAGTAGTTTTTCAGCATCATCAGCTATTAAAGGCAGCATGTTTAATGAAAGTGGAAAGAATTCAATTTCCGTTTATCTATTAATTTCTTAAGATAAGGCATTGACTTATGTAGGGTTTCTTCCTTCATTAGTCTCTTAACAGATTTAAAACTGGGATTAAGCAGAATTTTAGAATGATGTCTGAAGTAATTCTTCTACCATTATATTTTATTTGTTTTAATCTGTTTGCCTGGTACCAGTGTTCAGTAATGGGAGACAGCAGGCAGTAATTTTGCCACTTCAGATCTCCGGTTAGCTGAAGCATATTTGAAGGGTAACCTTTACCAGTATACGTGTTGTGCTTCAAAAGACTTTTAATTTGATAATTTATTTTACTAGATTTATTCGGATATTCCATCATAGAAAATTACCACAATGTACAGAAATGGATTACCGAGTAATCTTTATGCTAATTTGTTCTCTCAAACCTTTTTTTTCTTAATTACAGTGGTTTAACTTGAACTCTCTCTTGATGGGTCCAGAACTAATATCAGATACATATCTTGCACTTTTCTTGGCTCAATTACAACAGGAAGGTAATAGTAACTTGCAGATGTTAAATCTCATTGATTAAAAGTAGGTAATAATCATTATTTATTAGAACTTATGTATTCAGTTAACTACCCTTAGTTTTATGATTGAAATAGTGAAATAACCCAAGTCCTTATAATGAAAGGTAGAGCCTTACATTGTAATAAATTGCACATCGTTGTGTTCCATATAGTGTGTGTTTTAGAGTGTTTATGCATGCACCTTAATGCTGTAGACTTATGATTTATTTTCCTCAGGTTATTCCATATTTGTAGTAAAAGGTGACCTGCCAGACTGTGAGGCTGATCAACTATTGCAGATGATTCGGGTACAGCAGATGCAGCGACCAAAATTAATTGGAGAAGAGACAGCACAGTTGAGAGATCAGAGGTAAGGTAAATAGAGATTTTATTTTAGTAATGTTCAATATGATTGGTTTCTGTGATAAATGCCTACATGGAGACAACCCCTTTAGGATGTAATTAGAAGTACCTGTAGTGCAATATGCTTACTACTGTTGCACCCAGTAAAAGCAAGTTGGTAGAATACAAATGATGTACTTTTTAAGTCAGCAAAAACTACCTTAATAAGGATTAAATCTTGCCATGTGCATAAGTGGTGTATCGCGCAGATTTCAAACTTCATGATTACTATATTTTTTCAATTAGAGTAAAATGGGTTAGAAAATCTTACCAAACTATGGTTAATAGTAATCAATCTATAATTAAGACTGGCTTGTGCATTCTGTCATAAGGAGAAAAGAACGAAAACCCCATATCTGAATTCCACATCATGTAAATCATACAACATTCCCTTTTGGAATAACTTAATTGTAAATGTTGTGGTGCTGCTCTGTTGTGATGCATACTGCTAATACAAAACATCCTTGAAAGCATATAAAGTACTACTACTGCAATAATTTTATCACATTTTCATAGTGAACAAATTGCATACCGATAAAAAGGATTAAAGTTTTCAGAGGAATTAATTCGTTATTATTTCTTCCACTTTGTAAAGGTAAACTGGTGTTGTAAAATGATGGAATAAAAACAAGCTACTTGGCAGTGACATGGAAAGTGTGTATAGTTTACAGAGGATCTGTTGCTCTAGTGTGGTCATCAAAACTTCATGAGGAGGACACCACATGCACTGTTTTCTGCTGGTGTAACTTTAAATAGCAGTAGGTTTGAATAATGTGTATTACTGCTTTTTGTAGCCGTATTGTTTTTGAAGTTTTTCCTGTCAAACAAATTGTTGTCAACATGTGCATGGGTTTAGAATTGCAGTATTTTAATTTTTACAGCTGCAAGCTCTGCTTGCACCTCTTTTGTGCTTTTTCATGTAGAAATTAAAATATTTGTTTATATAACATTTTCTCATTGGAAATGTGTTTTGTCCGAAGTTAAAGTAGAGTTAAATCAGCAGAAAATATATACTTTAAATCTCACAGTAAAAGTTGATGATTTCTGTCTGAATTCTGCCATAAATTTATCAATTTCATAGGCTACCCAGAAGTGATGTGGACCAAGCAATAGAAGTTAACCATCCGTTTGACGGAACAGGCGTATTAGATGAAGATGAAGAGAATTTTCAGAGAGCCCTGGCTCTAAGTAGGCAGGAAATTGATATGGAAGATGAAGAAGCCGATCTTCGCAGAGCCATTCAACTCAGCATGCAAGGTGCAGTGGTCATCTAAATTTCTCTTACAATGTTCATGTCGCTTAAGCTTTAGGTAGCTACTGAAATTAGTTTGTTAGCCACTTTCTTCAGCGTGCATCAAGCTTTCTGGGAAGACTGGCTTTGAGGCATGGAAGGACAATCTGGAATTTTCTGTAGCCATCTCCTTTCTGTTTCTTGGAAAGTTGCAACTTTCATGTTAGCATTGAGAATTAGGAGGCAAGAACAAATTGGCAACGGGTGGCAGGAGAGAAGGCAAACAGTCCTAAGGTGAGGAGGAGAGATAGTATCAAGTGAAGTTAGCCTAGTGCTTATTTCTCCAACAAGTCTCTTTCTTCCTCTCAAGTTTGAAGACATTTTCTTAAGCTATATTTAATTTACTTACTTCATTTTACTGTAATTAGTAGCATATGGCGTATTCTGGTTTTAGGTAGTCGTCGAAGTGAGTTCTCAGACTCATTACCACGGGATGTTCCTCAGTCACCTCACACCAGTCAGACAGACTCCCTTTCTTCAGAAGAACTCCGAAGGAGAAGACAAGCCTATTTTGAAAAGTAAAGTAGTTGATAGAAAACTGCATGTGGAAGTACATGTAATTTTTCAGTGCTTTTGTGGTGTGGTTGGATTTCTGACTAAGGTCCAGCTTAACTTTTACCTCTAACATGTTTTCCTAACAGTACCTGAATTTTGCTATTCCCAGGTGGTTCCTATGAAGAAAAGAAAGCCGTAAATAAGAGGGGATCTGTTACTAATGCAATATCAGTCTTGTGAAGAAAGAAAACATAGAATATGTTTTATAGAATATGTTGTGGAAGTGTTTTAAATGAAATTTTTTAAATGTCTGTGATTATTTTCCTGAAGAAAAGTATTCTTTCTCTGAGACTCTGCTTCTGGTAATGATGCCTCTAATGTGCATCACATGAAAGTGTTCTAGATGATATTTTATGTTGCTGTTCTGGAGTATCTTCTTAATACATAGTTGGTGTATTGTCGCAGCTTTTCCTTACCTCTGTTTCCTAGTGATGGAGGAAATAAAGACCAGGGAGAAATGCTATGGATTGGAGGAGTTAGGCTTTGCATGAGAAGATAAGAATGCAGAACATCCAAATTCTGGGAAAATAGTAATGTGGCTTGGAGTATAATGTTGGGAAGATAGGTGTCTGAAGGTTAGTAGGGTGAAACGATTGAAGAGATTTTAGGTGCAAGGGTGTTACTGTACCAAACAGCTTCTACTTCTCATTCCTGGCCTTCCTTACAATGAAACAGACTTGATACAGGTCTCATACTGATGTTAATCTTATTCTCTTATAAATTTGTAACACTTCCAGGCAGCAACAACAGCTACAGCAGCAAGATCAGACCCCGAATGTACATGACAAGCCAGCTCTAAGCTCAAGCACTCCAGAAGCTGACCCAGGTACTGTTTTTTTAAAACTTATTTCCAACACTGAAATGTTTATGTTGTTTTCACCTGTAGTGCTCTTTCCTAACTTTCCTTGTCTTCCTACTTCCTCGCTCTGGCAGCCATTCAGACTGTATCACAGCCATTATTCTTCCTGGCGGTGAACCAAAGGATCACTTTCTTGAAAAGCCTGTTCTGCTTTGAATGTCAATATCCTGTTTCAAAGAGAAGAGCATTACTGTTAGACCATTTGAGTTCTGGCTTTGCTTTTTGTTGTTTTATTTGGCTGGAGCATTACAAATTGTAATCTTTGTGATTTCTGCCAACAATTTGTTTTCTAAATGACCTTTAAAGTTGTATGACAATGTAATAAACTTGGAGTAATATTTAACAAAATTACTGGAACCAGTTTTTGGTAGAACGTAAGTATGTAGGCCTTACCAGGATTAAGTAGAGGTGATCCAAAATTAATGTGTATTACTTGTTACAAATTGACTATTGTGGATGGAAAGCTAAGTGCAAAATGTTCAGTGATTTTTTAAAAAACAAAAAACTTTTTTTGGGGGTGGGGTGGAAACAGGTGGGTGTGGACTAAAGGAACAAAGAAAGCATTTAACTACAGTTGAGAACTAGTTCTGTGCATTTAATCCAACTTCTATGCATTTATTCTCTTTAGGAGGTGATATGAGTGAAGAAGACATGCTTCAAGCAGCCATGAATATGTCTCTGGAATCTGTTAGAAACCACTTGAATACTGAAGAGGAGAAATGATGTAACTTTTTTCCCCCCCTCTTACTGTCAAAACACTAAGTATCCATTATAATTTTACTGTGTGGATGTTGCACAAGCAGGGTTCATTTCAGAGTTCTGGCAGCAGGAATGAAAGGGGGGCTGGAGGTCAGAGGTTAGAGGGAATCTGCAAATACAAAAAAGATTGCACTAATTTAGAAAACTGTAGCACTCCTACTACAGAACATCTGTTCACAAGAGTAGCTGTATTAAAATTACTGAAACTATTCACATGAACAAAGTTAGACATGTGTAGCAGCTTAACTTTCATTTAAAAAGCAAGTTTAAATCGTTTTGAAGAATTCTAAAGGTGCCGAGTACCAGCATCAACTGGTACCAATGGAAAAATAGATACAAGTAATAAGTTGTGCTCATAAATTACGAAGTTCTTTATAAGAAATCACTTAAAATGGGAAAAAGAATTAAATTCTGTTTATCCTAAATAACTTATTTTGTGATTGTTTATTCTCAATGACTTAATGTCAACTTTTTGATCCTGCTGTCCACTTTTGAAATGGCCCATTCTGCAGGAGAAACATGAATCCAGAAACTTCATACTTTGCAATTCAAGAGAAAATCTTCAGTGTATTGTTGATGATGATGTTACTCCTGAATCTTTCGGTGATTTCTGACCTTCTAACACTTTCTGGCTTTACTTTTTAGTTCCAACTGTAGGTTTTACTTTTTAGTTCCAACTGTAAAATTTTCAGATCCATGTTTAAAGTAGGTTTTTTGCATTGCCCTGTTGTCTTTTGGCAGATAACTTGCCGCCTGTGGGTTTTCATTTGTTTTTGTTTTCTTATGCTCTCCCTAGTTATGCCACTGTCTTTATTATAAAAGTAGCATATAATCAGTTGGGTTAAACAGGTTTTCTTTTCTACCTCTTCTGGAGTCTTTTTTCCTATTCCAGCTCAACCCTTCATGCTGGAGTTTCAGTATGAAAGAGCTGTAACTGAGTCTAGGAGAAAGGAGGAGGGGATTTAGGTGCCATAAAGTCAGTGCCACACATATAAGTTGCATTTCTGCAGTCTGAAATGACCCCTGTGCAAGTAGCTCCTTTAAGAATGAATATTTATGTCTGTGTGGATGTTCTTTCTGAAATGCTTTTTATGAGTGTCTGTCAGAATGTTGCAGCTTTTTCAGGAATGGCCTTTATTCACGCACCTTACAATTTTTACGCTGTTTCTGATCCTGAGAAAAATTGAGGAGCAAAGTATGTGAAAGAGCTTATTCTATTGGTTGTAAGACATTGTCTTTGATATCCAGGATGAATGTGTAACAGGGTGACCAAACCTGACTTTCAACTTCAGTGCAACAATTGAGATGTTTCATTTTCCTAAATGGTGCTTGAAATACAAATTCTGTTTACATATAAATTATATGGAAATATGTCGTAGATAGGGTATGTAAGCTGTAGTCCACTTAATGCATTAACAGTTAGCACAGGCATTCTAAGAATCTTTTGAAGATAACCCCAAATTTCTTTATTAAAATATTCTGAAGTTATATCATTGCACAATTAGTAACATTTAATTAAAATTAGTATGAAATGAATGGTAGCTAGATGGAAATACACATTCAGCATCAAGTAGTACTGTACATGAAAGGGCTCTTACCTCTCAGTAAAGATTTGTTTACAGTAATGGTTTCTTGATAGCTTAGGATATTATTATATTATACATAATTGGGATAAATTCTGTTTTCCTTACCTGTGTGATGAATTTCCACCAATGTCACCAGAACCACTGGTATGTGTAAGACAATATGGATTTTGACATGAGACAGCAGTACTTTTTAAAAACTTTTAAAATTTTGTCTTTTTTAAATAATCCTGTCATACACATTATAATTAATATCTGTAATGCCTCAAATTAATACAGCTAAATAGTAGCTTTAAAAGTCCATATGTGCATATGCCATTTTGAAATGCTATATTTTTCAGGATGTAAATTTCTGCTTTCAGTTTAAAATTTATATGGAACTGAAAACAGGAAAGGAATCTCTAAAGCACTGAATTATTTCTTTGCTTGTCTGTAAATTATCCATAGCTTTAATTTTTCTTCTTTTGTTGTGCCATAAACTGATTCTGAAATACGACTCTCATTTTTATAAATAGGTATAGGCTGGCAATTTCATACCAGTACTTGGAACTTGGACCTCTTATCCTCTATTATAAGAATATAATAAAGTATTATTTCTATAGCTATATAGTGTAGCAGCCCTATATTAAAAAAAAAAATCTAAGCCCCTTGAATTGCATTAACTGTAACCCGTGACAATTACATGTTTTTATAATCATTAGAGCATGGAGGTTTGCATTTGAACCTTCATGTCACTTTGTAAGTTACTTTATCACCCAAGTGTTCTAATGGGTAAGGAATATCAAGTAACAGTGCCTGAAAAGCACAACTGTGTCAATCATTCAGGGCTAACTGTATTCCTTTCTGTGTAGAAACATTGTCACTCCAGCAAAACGAATTTGATAGGTGTATCTGCCCAGTCAAGCAGTTAAGAGGTAGCAATTTAAGCTACGTATGTTAATTGCACCAAAGGAAAAGACTAATACTAGTTGCTGACAGTACATATTTTATAACCCAGATCTAAAGTTCAAAAGCTGTGGACCTGCAAAGAAGCTGTCAATAAAAAGGTGATCTCATTTTTTTGGTGTGCATTCTTTCAGTGATAAACAGTTCTCAACGTGGCTGAACTATGCTTGTAAGGCATTTACTAATTTAGAGCCTATTCCTGGTGTTATCTATTCTTGTCAAGCTGAAGGGTTTTCTTCCCATGTTGTAGCTTTAGGCCGAAGTCCATTGTAAAGGAGCAGAAATTTATTTTTTAAACTTTTTTTAATTACAGTATGATATTTGAAGGAATTTTAGACTTCATTCAGACAGATTTTTAGTGTTCCTTACAGTGAACAGTCAATGTGATACAATTTGTGTTTTTCTGCCTATAGAACTCAAAGGGGTAAGGAGAATGAGTGATACTTACATTAAATATCTTCCCAAATTAGTTCTGTAAGTATAATTCTGTAAACTGCTTTCATGTTCTTGTAATGAAGGCAGGAGGAAAAAGTGTTGTAATGCAGTCATGCTTGAATGCGATTCTTGTTAGGCACAGCTGGTATAGATACGAGCTATTTAAATGCTCACATTTTTCTGGGCTTGAAACTAATCTGATACAATACTGGCTTAGTCTCCAATATTTGGGCTCCTTCTGCCCTTCAAACAACTTCAGCAAGTCTAAATGTAATTTTCAGCTAATGTACACTTCTTTTTCATACTTAGTTACTTTGCAGACTACTTAAAAATAACCAATACAAAGTTAAATCTCCAATGTGTTTTAATGTTGGACTATTGCTTCTATTACAAATTTATAAAATGGTAGGATGTTTAAAATAGCTTCTGCACATGTCTAGTAAACTATTCCATTTCTGTTTCTCAGACAAATATTGTCATTTGCAAGCTGCTTTGCTTTACTAAAAAAATTATGGTTAGGCTTTTAAAAATGAACAAGAACGTGTTACAGTTCTAAAACGCCTGTGAAATTTTCTAGAATTTAGTTATTGTTTCAAACACAATGATGAAAACATGCAAATGGAAGCCTTTTTACTGAGAAATATCATGGGGAATAGGATTGGAGACCTCTAGAACTCAGACTTACAAAGAAGTATTATTGTACAATTCATGTTACCAGCACATAGTTTTAAAGGAATTGAAGAAAGAATCCAAGGAAAAGAAAAATCGAAGTGGAAACTTTTTTTTAAGGTCTTAGATGTAAAATTATATTACTCACTTGTCAAGCCATTACTGTCTTGCATAAAATGAACTTTGCTCCTGGGAAATCTTCATAGTTACTCACAAATAATTAAAAAAAAAGTCTAATATGTAATACGTATATACCCATTCCCCCCACACACAATCAGTTGTTTAAGTAAGAACAATACTTCATATTAATACATTTGAACTGGCCTGGTCCAAATATTCAGTTCTTCAGCTTCAGATTAGTAGCTTCTTTGTGTTGTATCTGGGTTTGCATCTTAAAAGCATGAGCTGTTTTGCAATACACTTTTTTTAACCTGCATACACACATTTTGCCTTATTTGTGGTTCAGGCATGGAGGGAATGCTTTAGCACTTAACCTGCCAGTCACCTTCGTCCCCAATTACAGTTCTTCAGAATGTTGAAGTACATGTGACTTTTCAACTGATTTTACCCAATCAAAATGTTTTTACTTTAACTTATTTGTTAAGAAAAGCAAATAATTGTTACTACACTTAATGGTTTATTGGTTGTGGTTTTTTTAATCCTCTTCCTCTCTGACCAGTACAGCCACTGTGTAAATTGAGGAAGGCAAACTTAGAAAAGGTTTGAACAGAAAGGGATGTAATATTTAAATGCCACTACACAAAAACAGGAGGAAAAAACCTTTATACTGTCTTTAAAGCATGCAAGCATTGATAAAATTTTATTTTTTTGCTACATGAGACCCTATGTGTACAAAACAGTGTAGAGTTAGGATTTTGTAAGGGAATAATTTTTTTCATCTCTTGCCTAATAGCTGTGTATTTTAGAAATCACTTTCAGTAATAGATTTTTCATCTTGAGACTCTGCTTTCAGTCTTTGGCTCTGGATTCCTATACAGTTTTTTGTCTATTTTGTGTATATAAAGCATATAATACTGAAAAGATTAAAAAAGAAAAACTGAAACGCTTTGTCATTGTTTTGACTGGAAAATGTCAGTGCTGTTTGATACTTTGAAAATGCTCTCCAAATAGGCACGAATATATATGGTTGTATTTGATATCACTTTTTTAAATAAATACAATTATAGCTTCTAATGTTTCTCTCTTGATCTGAGTGTTTGCATATGTGCTTTTCCTTATATATGGATTAGGCATAGAATCATCAAGCGTTAAAATCTCACTTTCATATCAATGGGCTTTGCACTAGATGTGCATATACATTAGTGGGCTAAT